TTTTTTTTTTTTGCTCAGAGTAACGTGTTCTTTGTTGGTTTGTTTGCTTGTTTGTTTTTTTTAAAATGTAGGAAAATGATTTTGACTCTGCGGGCGGACTTCTAGGTGCAACTATGGGCAGACTGAGAACACTCTCCAGAGGAAGCCAGACAAAGTTATTATGCTACATGATGCTTTTTTCATTGTTTGTCTTTTTCGTAATATACTGGATTATTAAACTGAGGTGATGCACGTTACCTTCGGTTTAAACTGTGTAATTTCAACGATAAAGCAGTCTTAATTAATGAAGACGTTGATCTAAAGTCCCGTACTCTGTTGATAAAACACAGTGAAATTGTTGTAAATTGCATTAACTGTTAATGCAGTTATAGTTTTCGTAATGTATCAGAATTTCTCCCATCGTCCCCTGTTTTGGGGGGATTATTTGTAAATATGCAGAAACTGCTAGCATAGTAGGTTGGGGGTTTTTTTAGGGGCAAATAGTTTTTAGAATTGATTTAAAAACAAAACAGACAACAGCCGTTGTTGGGATATGAGGTAATGGCAGAATTGCAATGATTTCTCTTTTCAGTCTGGGCCATGCTCTAAATTAGAGCTGCGCGTTCAGACATACAGTAATTTCGAGGTTGCAAAAGCACGAAGAATACATGGATCTTCCTAAATTGGTTTTATCTGTGGGGTTTTTTTAAAGCTGACAAATAAAATAGTGGTACCCCCCAAACTTATTTTTGTGGATAGGTTTGATAGTGTATGAGCGGCTTAAACTGTGTGCTTTGGGGAGAAGTGGCTTCAAACTGGATTTTTGTTATATAAATGTGACAAATCACGCTCACACACCAAGTCTTTTAAGCAAATGCCTTTGATCATTTAGATCAACCGGAATGGACACAGTGCAAATGTTTTCTTTATATTTAAAGTTTCTAAAACGTAATGATTCCATTGAATCATATCAGCATGTTTACTTTTCAGTCTGTGGTTAACCCTAAATCAACACCGCATGATGTCTGGGATACGAGGTCCAATGCTTTAAATTTTATATTGAAGGATATTATGACACACCTGTTGTAGGTGCTGTCATATTAAGGCTTTTTTTTTATCTTCAAGACTTAGTTTTGGCTCACCAGTTTAACATTCAAGAAATTCAATGTCCTAGACATAGAAATTGTGTCTATGGTTTTTGAAAAACTTTTCTATGCATACTGTATAATGTGTTGCCATTAATAACTAATTAAGAAGTGACAAATAAAGTGTCCTGTAGTGTTCCAGCTAGCGTTGCCTATATACATTTTCCTTCTAGTCTATATACGTTTCCTTCCTGCTGCATTTAAGAGGCTGTACTATTAAAATAAGAAATGGAGGTGGATACTACATTTCTTTACATTAGATTTCATATATAATGGAGGTATGACATGTAAATCACCTAAGAAGTAACACAGACTATGTATAAAATTAAGGCTCAAATATGTCTAGCTTATTTAATCTTTTGACTCGTGCATCTATATGTTTATTAGATAACATACAAGGGCTTTTTTAATTAAGTGCTGAAACAGCTCCTTTAGGCTCTTCTAACATGGACGTTCTGGACGGGAATGTAGCTGGAAGTGACACAGTTAAAACGGACATATTTCAGTATGTTTTTATCCTATTTTACAGGATGTACCACACGTCCCTTCAATACCAGTAAAAGGTCAATTTTCAGTTTAAAATCTGAACAGGAATCCTGCAAGTTTGCCCCAGAATGGTTAAGGAGACTTCATGTAAATGTGAAACTGCTTTGAGAATATCTCACTGAGCAGGGAAGGGGCATGGCCGGGGTGGGAACCGTGCGTTGCAGCCTTACAGGTTTCCTCAGCATCTGCATTTGCTTTACTGGTCACTTCAGAGTAGAAGAGTATTACTCTGGCAGGACTTAAAATCCACAGCCATTTGGCAAGATTTCCGAATGCGAGTGGCTACAGTAAAAATCCTAGGAGCATTAATTGTACTTAGAGAAAGTTGCAATAAGAGCAGCTTCGTAACAATACTGCAGTTACGATGATTCTGGGTTTTGAAATCTTTACACGCTATTTATATGTTGTGTTTCTCAGTTTCGTGTTACTTAGATTCCATCTAGATTATTGCCAGGTGCAAGGAAATACCATCTTTTACCTGTCAAACCATTAACCTTACAGTATCGTGGGGATTACTAAGAAAATGTTTAATCAACACAGCCACTTCCAGGGGAGTAATACTGACTGTCTCTTCTGGCTTAAATGGCTGTTTTAGGAAGAGTTTAAATAATTACACGCAGTTCTCATATGAACAAGTTTATTTTTAATATTTTTCTTTAACAATTACACACGAAATGTGATACCTTAGTGCTGAAGTTCAGGTCTCCAAAAGATTTGGATACAATGAAAAAGTTGTAGAATTCTACAGATGAAAATCACCCCCCACTCCCGTCACCAGCCGTCCCGAGTGCAGTGCAAAGTGACAGGGACTTGGCAAAGATGGGAGAGCTCATGCTGATGATTACTTGCTAAAAGTGAGACCTTGGGGAAGTACTTGTAATTGAGAGCAAAATCACGGTTCCAGTATTTGGATATGGCAGGGAATAATTTGTGCCTTAATTAGTGATCTTGAAAGCAAAGCTACGCTGAAATTAGATTAAGCTGCTAGTCAAGTCATAGCTGGATCCACGTGGAAATTCTTAACTGGCAGCTTAGATGCTTTAAAATGTAGCTGTACCTTGATTAAAGAAGACATTTTTTTCTGCTGGGTGCTTGGTGCGGATCACTAGACTCCTCAAAGAAGTAACCCACCACGAAAATGGAAAACAATTTTGCCAGAGGCCACACGCTTTCAGATTGCTCCGTAGCCACAGAAGTTTGACATTGGAGAACACCGAATGATAACGGTCAGAGACCCTGCTGAGCATTTCCATGGCAAATTTACCGTCACGTTTTCTGCTGCTTTTACCTGTGAGAAATGGACTGGCTGTGCCCTTCAGCGTGCAGGACACGCTATGCTCCTGCCTTCTTCATTTTCAAGGAAGCGTGGCGACGCGTCACTTGCTTGGCAGTGTTCCCATGTATTTGCAGATGATGGAAAGCATGGTTTCATCTGTGCCACCTCCGAGGGACAGTAATCTCAAGTCTCTGCAGAGAGAATGTAGAGGGAAGATGTAAACGTTTGCGTGCTGTACCGAGGGAACAAGTACAGGTCTGCACACACCCATTTACTCTTCCATGCACTCATGGAGCTGCTTTTATTGCATCAAAACCCCTTTTTCACAGAAGTACGTCTGTGGCGTGGACAAACGCGCTGTCAGCACCATAACCACCCTTTTAGTTACAGGGATGTTGCAACTTCAAATCAAAAGGCCTTAGATATAATTAGGCGCATCCAGTGTTCAGGTTCTTTCAAAAATAACCTTAACTTGGCACAACAAGGTGTTTTCATCTTGAAATAAGTTAAAACCTTTTCTAATCACCTCCTGATGTTCCTGCTACACTCCCACCACTCCTCTGCGAAGCTGTAGGAGCCTGCACTTGAATTTTAGGAGGCGTGGGAGCTTCTGGAGGGCCAGCAGTGAAAGGCACTGCAGTGCTCAATGTTTAACAGTGTGGTAAAAAACAGTATTGTCAATCAGTACAGGAGGTGTTGGTGAATTCTACAGAGAAGGTACAATGTTCACTGGCGTTTTTTAACCCAACAAGCATCCTGGTCTCCCTGATGGCTACATGAGCTCTGGCATGATCCATATTAGTAGTATGTGCTATAGTATTACATAGGATATAAAGCTTTTCTGCTTTGAAAGTGAATGGCTGCTCCAAGCTTATTTACTTCTGCTTTGATGTTTCTACTCACACCCATTTAAAAACCCACCATTAATGGCACTGAGTCATCCCTGACAGTATTGCCCAAGTTCCCTGGGCGAGCTGCGCTGCAAACCACTGCAGCCTTAAGCAATTTTCTTCACAAAGCTCTTTTCTCCTCTGGGGAGAAGGAAAACAAAACAAAACACTGAAACAGTTCTGCTAAACTCTACCTCTGTTTAATTCAATAACCTGAAGGTTCCCCCTCCTTCCTCGGGGCCTTGCTGAAGGCAGCGGAGCTGGAACAGCGCTGAGTTACTCTGTGCTGCGGCGCTGTCTGCTTTTGCAAGTGCTCAGCATTTTGCATCTTCACAGCACTGTGGCAACGGGAGGTGATTAATCCTCCCAGCTCCTCTGCGATGCCAATCCAAATCCTCTGCTTGAAGCAGGAATCCTGGAGCCACGTGGCTGGTTGATGTGAGGTTCGAAACAGGCGGTGCTTTGATGGTGTGACAGGCACGTCAGGTTACCACACAGAAAGGCATGTTTGAAAAACAAACCCCACTTTTCATGTATATTTTTGTGTCTCTCTCTATATATATGCATGTGTGTGTCTTCACAAAATTGCTGCTGATCATATTTTTGTCTCCGTGGGTGACATAAGGAATATTTCCTACAGAATCCACAGGCAGGCGACTGGTGCCAATCTCTCCCCCCGGGGAGACAGGACACAAGGTCCCACCTAGTTTAAGAGACTCAAAATGACAAAGGACTCAAACGATTTTAATCTAGTGACCCTCTTCTGGGAAAGAGACTTGCTTTCAGCATAAAAAACCAGAACCATGGGACTCACTATCCTGCCAGGAGGAAGCTGGGGAAGAGGACACAGTGCAGTAAGCTCGTTTATCAGCTATTTCTCGTCAGTTTATGGTTTGCTTGTTTACATTAGAACAATAATGCATTATTAATACAGCACAGAAATATTTTAACAGACACAAATATTAGAATTGTATAGCTTTAGGTAGGCTATGCCTGGAATGCTTTTGATCCGGCAGGACAACACTTGGCTCTGATTTCTCCATCACCTTGTTCCTGCCCCCCATTACAGAGCAGCACGTTCTGCGCTACCTGCAGCCCCGCCGAGAGGTGAGAGCCAACCCGCGATGGCTTCACGCTCACCCAGAACAGGGAGGAACTCACCACGCAGCTACATAAAGGCACCTTTCTGAGGAAACAAACCTCTCGCTGCTTGTTGAGTGTTGTTTTTCTTAGAGAGTGGGAGTTTGCCTGAGGAAAGAGATAAACCCTGACTGTTGAGTTCCACGTCCCCTAAAGCACTCCCTGCAGAGACCTTCCTCTCCCTCAGGCAATCCCATGCACCTGAAACATCCACTGTAGATGATAAGACTTATTCTCCCCAACCAGATCAAGAGATGTAAATCTTAAAAAGCAATCCACGTTCTGACAGATTAAAAAAAAAAAAAAAAAAAAATTTCTTCACCACTGAGTTCAAAAACTGCACTTCTGAGGAAGGATGAGGAGCGCTTCCCACCCAACAAACTCAGTACAGGTTAACAATTATTTCTCGTTGGGCAGCAAAAGGAATGAAAGGACCCTCCATGTCATCACATCAAGTGTTCCATCTCCATAGGTCACATCACCTCCTTCAGAAATGCGTGAAACGCTGCTTTACAGATTAAAAAACAAGTTCCCTTTAATCTTGGACTACCCTAATTTGAAGGCTGTCACACAACAAAGTTGTTCTAATGATTAGGAACCCTCTAATTTACAGCCCGAGTGTGTTCCCGAGTAGCATAATCCAATACAGTCCTTCAGTTTAATGTTTCTCTTTTGGCTGGTACTGACCCCTCTCGCATCAGCCCTTGTTTTGCACAGGCCCAGCCACGTCCATCACCCTGCCTGGCAACTTTTTGCTCCCAGATGTCTCGGAAGCCAAGGCTGGCCCTTGCACCAATCCCTCCCGGGCGAGCGATTTCACTGCCCATGTCGTACGGACAGGGGCCTGTCCCACAGCAGGAGGAAAGCTTTTGACCTTGTAACGTGGGTCATAGGCTGGACTGGATGTTCTCAGAGGTCTTTTTCCAGCCTCAATAATTCTGTGATTCTGTGCTAGAGAGGCGCTAAGGCCACAGCTCATGGCACAGTGAATCCAGCGTCAGCCTCGGGCTGGTAAAACGCGGTGTTTGCAGTTGTGCATCCATCTGTTTTCACGTAACTTTAAAAGTCCTGAGAAAATGAACCAAGTCCTTTCCCTTCTCAGGCAGCACTCAGCGGCGCTTGGATGTGGGGAAGAAAGCGAGCTGAGGGGACTCCAGCTCTGGTTTTCCCTCACGGCAGCAGCCCCTCCGAGATGCCTCTCCCTGTGTCCGTGGTTAGAAGGTGCTTGGCAAATCCTTCCCAAGTTTTCTGGGGCTCAGAGCATCACCACTGCCCGGGGGGATTTATGCACCACTTCCTTTGGCACTTGATTACAAAACATTTACCCCTTTTTTTTTTGCCTCACAGTTATTATTTTAAAACTGTATTACTGGCAAGACTTTTCACCACCAAATACATTGATGTAGCCTCAATATTTTGTGAATTCCCTGTCCAGGCTCAGCTAGATTGCTTATAGCCTGTCCAAATTAAACAGCGCAGTTCACGTGGCCCTGCCCCTCTTCTCGCTGAAAACGACACCTTCAGGTGCATAAAACCAGCACAGTATAGGCACGTACATGGTAAACCAGCTCGCTCGATGCCTTCTAAAGAATGCTGCACTTTAGAAAAGTCAGTAGTTCCACGAAGCTCAGTAATGATTAAAATGACAGATGTGAGTAAAGTCATTTGGCCGACGGTTTTGTGCCGGGTCTGTTTATTATGTCCCCGCCAACACTCGTAACTGAATTCAAAGACTTTGTACAGCAGACACGCATTACTCTGTGTCCTCTCCGAGGAGTAACAGCCCGACGTGTGTCGAAGACTAACATTTCCTTGGAAACTTCGTAAGGATTACGCTAAAAAATCTCTGTGCATCATGGCTGGATGTTAGGCTGCGCCGCTGTGCTGCTCGCTACTCGACAAATACCACAGTGACGCGAATGGTTACTCAGACTGCTGCACAAAAAAGAACAGCTTTAGGAGAGCTGCTGCTTATCGTAACAGATAACAAGATCCTGACCTGAACCTGTAGTTGTGTATTTAGGTAATATTCTACTTCTCCCTTCCTGGAGCTTATGGTTACTCAATGATGGAATTTTACTGGTTCACAGAAAACTTTCGAGTACAGATGTCACACCACCTTTAGCCTTGTTTAGAGCCTTGTTTGTTTTAGAGACAGAGGATATATTTCTTTAGCCATCTGACACAGTTTATATAAATAGGAAATACACTGGATTTCTTCTCAGGAAAAATGTTGACTGTGCTAGTGTACTCAGAAACCACTCCGGAGTTCTCAGAGAAAAGCCTTGCCCACAGTCATCAATAATACATGGGGCTAGGAAATCTAAACATAACACAAAACTGTGTGTGAGCACACAAAAATTAATCCGTACACATTACTACACTGACAGTAAGCGCTTCAAGGCAAGGATTCATTTTACTCAGAGTGCCTACTACAGCAGCTTTTAACATCTGCATCACCAGGGACCATCAGCTGCTAATGAAGAGGCTGTGAAAAAAATAACTTAGCAGGACCATCGTACTGACAGCTGGATAAAACTACAACCACACTGCAGGCTGTACCTTCACCAGAAAATCTCAGGAATCTACAATTGCAAAAAAGGATCTTTCTAACTTGCCACAACAGCTTTCTTGTTCATAAAATACTATGAAAAATAGAAAAAGTAACTCAAGCTACTAAAGAAACAAGCTTCCTACAGATTTGTTTAAGCGTTAGGCTCTCACTTTTCACAGATACACTTACCAAAACATTCAAGGAACAGAAACACTAATTTTGCTAACCTTGATTAGGTGCCATATATAATAAGGGTGGAACTGACATCTCTTACAGCAAGAAAATGCAAGTTCCATTTTGGTCCTTCTACAGAATATAAAACACCAGGGCCAGAATTTTCCTAACAGCCATCAGGAAAACTTTTGCTTGGGAAGAATTTTAAATGATACATGGTAAAATTTAAAGGGATTTAAATTTGTAAAAAAAAAAAACAAACCCAACTCTGTACCGTTTCAATGATCTGACACCCTCCTGGACGCTGCTACATCTCTCACACGGTATTTGGTGTGAGCAACCAGGTGGAGAGTGCTGGGAGAAAAGACTGCTGCAGGAGCCTAAGGGTGAACTCTGGCATGTTTGAGGGGAAAGATAAGGCTGATTTTCATTGGTTTTGGGAGAAACCTTCTCTTTTGTTTTAGTTGTGTTCTTGTAGTCAAGACTACAAGCAAACAAAGAGTAAAAAGGGAAAAAAAAATCATTTGCTGGTAGGCTTTCCCCCTTTTTTCCTTGTCTTATTGCCTGGCAGGTACCAGAGGACCATCAGGGCAAGTACGGAGTTTACTTCGTCCAACTTGACATTTGGGCTAACCTGGGGGTAGTTCCCACTACAGAGCTGTAATGCAAAGCCAAGATTTGGCAAAGGAACGTCCTGACACTCACACACGTCACCTCAAAGTCAACGGGACTGCGGATGCAGCAGTGGCATCCCTTCTGGTGGCCCAATGCCACTCCCCCCAGCTAGGAGCTCGGACCTTTTCTAGCGGGTCATCTTTTACCAGGGCGTTTAAGAGGCCAAACTTCAGTCAAGCTATTTCCTACTGTCCCCACCCACTTGCTTACCTGTAAAACCTGCTCACCAGAACCTCGCTGGTGAACCCCATTCCCCCCCAAAACTGGAGACAGCTGTCGGTCACCTCGCGGGCCAGACGACCTGCCTTGAGCTTAGCCATGGAAGCAAATTTGGTCACGTCGTTGCCTTCCACATAGAGAGCTAAAAGTTAAAGAGAAAGAAAGCAAGAAGCGCAGTTACACTCACACAGTCTCTGGCAGCCACCTCCCCGCGCTCCTCGAGCCCGACAACGTTCTTTGGCTTGAAGACAAGCCCCTGTGGGAGGGCAGAGGTGGGAGCTCACCAACAGCGCGGTGCAGCAGCGAACGGAGCAGCTCCAGCTCGGTTGCCAGCTCGGCCAGGCGATAGTGCACGGCTTGGTTGTGCAGCACGGGCTGGCCAAACACCTTCCGCTGGCGAGCGTAGTCGACAGTTTCTTGTATTACGGTTTCCAGCGGTGTCAGGACTTGAAGAAGCAAAGCACAGGAGACCTCATTTTAGCCGGATTGGTTGTTTTTCCTTCTTATGGTAACAGATTACTTTTCTTTCATATTGTATAAAAAATACATCAGGTTTTCTAAAGCAAATGATTCCACACGCTCAGTTTGGGGCGTGGTTTCACTTCAGAGAAAAGTCTGGTATTTCCTTGTACCTCGAAGGCCTCTTTATCCATATTTCACCCGAGCCTCAAACGGCTAAAACTCAGAGCAGAGCCAAGAGGGATGGGGAGGAGGGAAGGGAAGTCACAGAGAGCAGTAGCTAATGACAAATATGTAAAATTTACCCTTAATGCCTCACGTGAGCTCCCAGCAAAAGCTTGTGGCAAGTCATGGCGCCTGTATCGTGAGGGCCTGCTAAAATCCCCAAAGAAAACCTGAAGGCAGGCAGGGTGTGCTCACCGAGGAACGCTGCAGAAATGTACATTGCAATTTTGGGGAGAAGGCAGTGAACAGATTGCTTCTTGCGTCTGCATTCTGCCACCGGATCTCAGCAGAGAAAGGACGGGAAAGCCATTAAGATCCAGAGCCACGTCCGTACGTGCTGAACAAGTGCTTCTAAAGGAAACAGAGTCAGAATAGGAGGCTTCTGGAAAAGCGATGAAAGAGATGGCACACACTGTTTTAAAGCAAGAGAACTAGTTCACTGCTGGTTTTTGAGCAAACTTAAAGAGATACTCTGTTTTAAAAAGAAAAGGGAGAAGTTTTTTCCAAGGCCAACCAGCGATGAAGCGAAGGGCGAGGCTGGCAGCCTGTTGCAGCTCAGCTAGGGTAACTGCGGGGCCTGAATTTGTGGAGAATTTTGTCTGGCAAACGTGGACCCGTGTCACTAGAGCAAGCAGCAGGGAGAGGTGAGGTGTCACAAATGCGTCTGTGTGACGAGGGTCACATCTCCTCTGTCAAAAATACGCGTATATCCACATCCATCCACGTTTAGAATCCAAAGCACAAAACTGCATCTGAAATGCAAAACACAGCCAAGAGCTGGACTGCTACAAAACCCCTTTTCCCACCTGCCAGCTACTCGCACGACAGTTCCTTACTGGCGCCCGGTGTGCTTTTATATTTCTGTTTTGCATCTCCTTCAAGATCACCTCTATTTAAACTCCATCCCTATACTGCTCGTATACGCAGGCTCTGCATCCCCCCTGCCACGATCACTCAGCAGCTCTACCACCGAGTGCTATTTTTCACATGCTGTCCCCACACTCCATAAGGCGATCAGATTTTCTCACTCCTTAAATATTCCTCCTCCCCGCCCTTCCTCAGACAACTAGCCTCGAGGCTTATTTCTCAAATGAGCGTATACAATAATGCCCACATTTCTACTGTGCTAATACACCGTGCTGCCATCCCAGTTCCGCAGAGGAAAATAAAAGGCTGTTCTCGGGGATTTTTCTCTTGTAGAGATGAACATCCCTGCTCTTCCAAAGGACGGCGTAACACAACACTGGAGCACGTACAACACCAACAGCCTTTCCACTCGTTTGTCTACGGTCTCCAGGTTGAGAGATGTTAAAGACAGAGCAAGAAGTGTCTGGCCACCTCTTGTCCCTTGCACCCAGACCTGGCAGCGGGGAAGCACAGAGCCCAGTCTGAGCTGCTGGGAGGGAAGCTAAACAGTTCCCACCAGCGCTAGGAGAGCAGGAGGGAGGTCAGAGGGATAAGGACAAGGGATCAGCCTTGCGCTGGGTCTGTCAGAGCAACGTGCTCCAGCATGGCTCACGGCGTTCCCTGCAGCCAGCACCAGGGAAAGAAGAGATGGGAAACAGCGGAGACAAGAGCAGGAGCAGTAGCAGGTTTAGGTCCCGCTTGCAAGAGGGCTCAAGATCATGAAGGGGTTTTGGCTCATCTCTGCTCAAGCTGCCATCCCGCTTCAGGGCTGGGAGTGGGGCACAAGAGAAAACTGCTCTCACAGTGCCCACCTCTCCCTGCTTCACTGCCCCCCTCCTTCTCCAGCTGATCCATCGCCTGGTTTCTTTAGCTGCCATCACCACCCTCCTGCTTATTCCCAAACCCACCATCTGCACACAGAAATAAAAACAGGAAAGCTTTCAAGGACAGTCCTGGGCTGCATCAAGAGAAGCGTGGCCTGGCAGGGCAAGGGAGGGGATTCTCCTCTGCTCCGCTCTGGTGAGACCCCCCCTGCAGGGCTGTGCTCAGCTCTGGGGGCCCGAACACAGGAAAGGTGTGAACCTGTTGGAGTGAGTCCAGAGGAGGAACTCAAAAATAATCGGAGAGCTGGAGCACCTCTCCTAGCACGAGCGGCTGAGAGAGTTGGGGTTGTTCAGTCTGGAGAAGCGAAGGCTCTGAGGACGCCTTACTGCAGCCTTTCAGTACACAGAGATGACTTACAAGATGCTGAGAGACTTGTTACCAGAGCCTGTAGTAACGGGACAAGAGGGTAGGTCTAGACTGAACATAAGGAAAAATGTGTTGGGGTTGGAACTAGATAATCCTTAAGATCCCTTTGAACCCAAACCGCTCTACGATTCTAAGAGATTCTTTATGATGAGGGTGTTGAGACACTGCAAGAGCTTGCCCAGAGGAGCTGTGGTTGCCCCATCAGTGGAAGTGTTCAAGGTCAGGCTGGATGGAGCTTTGATCAACTTGATCTGGTGAAATATGTCCCTGTCCATGGCAGGGGCATGAGACACAATGATCTTTAAAGGTCCCTTCCAACACAAACCATTCTGTGACCCTACAACTACAGGTATTCAGAGCCATGAGCACAGCTGGAACACAGCAAAGCTCAGCTCTGCACTCAAGAGCAATGAGACGCTGCACATCCTTTCTGCCATGACCGCCTTGCACAGCGTAACAGCGCACGATACTTAGCCTGTTATGTAAACAGAAATGCCTTTCTTAATACCAAAACGCATTTTCTCTCTGATTTTTTTTCCTTCCTGTACATTCGTTTCTTCCTTTGTTATACAATGTTCTCCCCATCCTCACGCTAACTCGGCCCCATGGGTTCCAAGTGAGAGCACAGGCAGGAAATGTCACCCTAGGGCAGCCTAAGGAACGCGCGGTCTCCCACAGAGCTGGGAACTGCGAAAGCACTTGGAGCTGCCAAATGCAGAATGATCTCCTTGTACCTCCATCCAACATCTATTTTTCTACTTGAAACTTTCACTCACTGTCAACACGCTTTGCCTTGCTACGTCTTCTCTCAAAACAAACAGAAATGAATATAGATTTCTTCAGTTGTGGCTGCTCACTCGATGTCCAGTGAGCTCCAAGCTGAGCAATCTGTCTCTTACGGACGTGCGCTGCCCGTCATCCTGCTTACTGGCCGTGACTCAGTGGTGCTCATAAACCTGAGGCTACAGGAGCAGATAGAAGTCGTTAGAAAAGTGCCATTCTGCTCTCTCACACACTGAACTCCTTCTTCGCCTCCAAGTTAAGCAATCCACAGAAAAAAAAAAAATCTGTTTGCTTTCTCGCCACAGCAACATTCTTTTCCTGTGATCAGTGCAACAGGTCCGCAAAGGGATGGTGTTCACCGAGTGTCACAACTCCAGGAGAGATACGTGGCACCTCTTTTTCGATGGAGCAAGAAGCACAGACACTTTTACTAAAGGCCTTTGAGAACGTGTCACTCAGAAGAAAACACCACAGCTATGACCAAATTTTGCAATTCCAGGAAATTAGTTTTATATATATATTTTGAATCCGTTTCACTGGAAATGTTTTAGATTTTCATTTTAAAAGGAAAAAGAAAGGGTGAATAAGGAAGGAAACCTCACACACACCCTGAAATCTGGTCACAAAGAAGATAATAAAGACTAGAGAAAATGATGCTTGATACTAAAAATACATAAAAACATAAAAGATGTGTCCCCCCAACCACAAAGCACAACAAAGCAACACTCTGCCCCTTGACAATCTCCAAGGCTCTTCCCCGCTGGCAGCCCCTGCCTGGTGGTGAGGGGACACAACACACACACACACACGGATGACGATGCCCTTCGCAGACGTCTCGCCCAGGGCAGGGTTCGGCTGTTCCCACCGTGTTGCTCTGGGCAAAAAGGAGAATTCAAAGCTGGTGTCCCACTTCCCGGCAGCGCGGGGTGACCGCCTGGCCGTTGTGCAAGGCTGGACAGCACCAAGCTGCCAGTGGCTGTCACAGGAGTGACCTAACCTGCCGGGCTCGGGATGCTGTCAGCGCGCGTCACTTTTGCCCGGGGCATGAGTAATGCCAACGGCTGCTTGGGGAGTATCACTGCAACCCAGAGGTTCTGATTGCTTTGTTTAACTTAGACTTCAGACCGAGCACAAAAACACCCAATGCACGTCCTTGGTGTTTGTTAAGGCAGGACCAGCCGCAGGGCCAGGTCTCCTCCTCGCCTCGCTCTGCGGGAGCATCCCTCCCAACCGAACCTCCTGGTCTTCACCAAAATCAGTCTCACGTTTACTATTCATCTCAGGCTGAACTAAGAATTTTGGCCCAAATCAAAGAATTTTTTTTAAATATCTGAACTTTAAAATATTTGGTCTGCGATCCACCCCACAACAGGGAGGGATTTTCTTTTTTTGGTCGCTGAATCGGAAAATCATTTCCCAGAATTCCCAATTCTCCGGCTACACACAGACAGTAACCCGAGAGGAGCAGCAGGATGCTCAGATTATGTACACAATCCTGAAACTTAGGGAGGACCAATCCTCCTAGTGAACCACGTTCTATTTAAGTTGAAGAAGCAAACACTCTGGGAGGCAGGGGGAAGGTTGGGGAGCTGGAAGCAGACAACCCAGACTTGGATCTGGTTACCTGAAATAGCCAGAATCCGTAACTTAAATATGCGAATTCAAGTTGGAGTTCAGAGCAACAAGAACTCCATGACAGCGTAACTTCAGGGAAAGGAATCTGGCGTACAGGGATAAAATAGATTCCCAAAACAAAGCTCTTGCATCTATAAGAGCCCCTTCTTTACACAGCCATTAAGTTAATTTTCTAAATTTCCAGGATAAACATCGTAGCTTACAGGAAAAGTCCTTCTACTTCATGCCAGTATTTTGCTAGCCTTTGTACCAGATTTGCAGCACACGTAACACAATAACATATTTTCTTAGCAGCAGCAAAGCACCGAGATGGGGGAAAAAAAACCAAAAAAAGGCTAAACCAGCCTCTGTGATGCCTCACAAAATACGTTCTATGTCAAGTTTTGTACAGAGAGAGAGAGAAGATTGTCTGCACCCAGGCTGTGACAGATTTCAGAACCAGCTCGTAAGAAGCCATTGCAACTCACCAGAAAAGGAAAGTGGCGTTAGTCACGCGAAGGGTTACCCCGAATGACGACTTACCCACGGCCACTCCCCAGAGCCGCTCTTCTTGGAACTGCAACATCTGGTACGTAAAACCCTTTCCTTCCTCACCGATGAGGTTCTTGCTGGGGACCCTGACGTCTTCGAAAAAGATCTGAGCTGTGTCCGACGACCTCATGCCCAGCTTGTCTATCTTTTTAGCAACGTGGATCCCTGAAGAAAAAGGGGGATTAGAAAGGGCTCAAAAACCAGAAGTGCTTCATCAGAGTTTAAGAAAGCGAGGTTTGCGGATGTGAAGGTGCCTGCCAAGACTTCAGTAAAGCCTACCTTTAGCAAAACCACGTTAGTGTTCTGGAATTTAAAAGTCAAATGGCCCACATCCTATTTTTAAGAGTTTTTCTGTTTAACTAGTGAATCAGAAACTGCAGTTGTAAAGGTCTCGCTTCTCTTTATGTCCCCAAATAATAACTGTTTACTAGAAGTAATAATCTTATTTTTTGCCCATCTTGAAATAATGCAATATTTATTTGTTTACACGTTTGAATTTTAGCATACTACAATAAAATTCTGGAATTCAATTTAGCAGTATTTGCCCAGTGCCTACACTGCTGCGAAAGAGCAGAGAAAATATTCAATAATGACAAAATCAGAGCTGTGTTTTAAGCTGCAACTAGGGAATATATCCTCCTGGAAATCCTCCTATTTCCACTGGAGATTTTTCTCCACCAGCCAATCTATGAACAGTCTGTGTGTCAGGAATACTTGCTTTGATGTGTGTTCCATGTAGGAAGAAAATCCGAACAGCTGCATAAAAACTTTTGAAGATTATCCAGTAATTTGCACCAAGACATGCCAAAAAAAAAGCATTTGTAGCTTGTTTCTGTACTAAAATCAGAGCTAAACAAGCACACACTGGACCATTTACAGGCCCAAATGACTTCTGGAACATCTTTTCCCACCGGAATATTACTGCCTGGCTTCTTTGAAAGTCTCAGAGATCACGTCTGGTCTGCTTCCAGCTTGTCCTGCGCAATCTCTGCTCCTCACGCCTATGAAGATGCACTTGCTGCCCTTGTTAGTGGGTGGTTTGACTGAGGAAATAGTACAACTGCTGCCCCTTCTTTGTACCGACAACTTGATCCCGTCGTGAACTTGCCCAGATCCACACAAACAGCAGCTGCTGAAGGAAGCTCTTGCCGGTTTGGTCAGAGGAGCGACACGCGTTAATGGTTTCTACCCCTACTTCTTCCAGACTGGGCTGTGTGCTCAACTTTCCAGCAGCATCCCTGCTTTGTTGTGCCTTACTAGTTTAATTTGCTAATTTTAATTGGCTCATTTTGGTAGTTTTAGGTTAATTCACGCCCTTCATTTAGGAGGAGGCCAAACTGCATCAGCCTCATGTAGTGCCCCTGCTGTTGCTTGCACCAGCTTTACATCTTCTCTTTTGGAGGATGATACACAATCATCTCTTTGGCTACAATATGGGCATCAAAATCTTCCTTTGCTTAAAGTGTCTTTGTAAAGAGGTACGATCTACTACAAACTACCAGCAGCAGAAGCAGCCACCTGCCCAGATAACTCCTGGAGCTTGTCTGTAGTAACTAAATGCCAAGCCATCGAGCAGCACACAAATCTCAGTCCAGCAAGGCGGAGTGCCCGGCTTACTGGAATCGCTCTGACAGCCAGTTGTGCTACTTGCCCCAGTACCACTGACATGGATTGCTCTATCCCTTCCTGGGCAGTTCTTGATTTTTCATTTTCTCCTACTCGTCCAGTCTTCTAACAACATCTTTTTAACTCCTACGTTCTGCCTTGAGAGAAAGGCAGTTGCTCTCCCCTGACACTACGTAGTGCCATCGCAAATGGAAAGAGGCACATTTTAAATTGCAGCCTGAGAATCATGTTCTTTCCCTTCTCCTGGCTGCTCTTCTCTTTACTGAAATCCACCCTAGTGCTGTCAGAGGACAAACCAGCACACAGGGAGTTATCAGATCAGGGCTGCGAGCCATTTGCCCAAATATCCTGCACACAGACTTCTTAGATTCTCTTTTGTCATAAGAGAAATTCAGTGCTCTTTTTTCCCCCGACATTGTTAGGATGAGTATTCACCTAATCTGGTTATCTACTGTCAATCTGCATTGATGTTACCCACGTTTCCTTTACGAGAAACATGTTCAGCAGTGTCCCTCTAATCTACACTAGGATTTGCTTCACCCCAGTACACACCTAAAACTGGAAGCAACTCCTATTTCACGTGTCCAACAAACTACCAGTCGTGGAAGCCAATAATTCACTTTCAGACTTAGAACCTTTTTATCACCACGTTAGACAAGTATGAAATATGCTTTTTGCAAAAATAAAGATTAAAAATATGCTGGACTAGTCTCCCATGTCCTTCCAGCTGGCAGCAAGCAATGAGCTACCTCTGTGCCACAGATCCCCGCCCTCCCCTGCCGTACGGGCAGGCAGAGCACACTCATTGTCCATCGTGCTTGTGCTCGAGCTTTGGCACGCACACACCTACTGAGGCTTTATCGGGCATCATTCGGTGATGTCCTCCAGACCCTTCCCTGCAGATTTGGTCCGCTGCCCTCCGAGGAGCGCAATCTTGGGCAGGCAGACATCCTTAGGATGTACCAAAACAGCCGGAGCTTCCTCCCGGCGTTTGTGTCAAATGGCAGCTTTCTGCACACTCTTCCTCTTTGCCTTCCTGACAGACCTCGCTTCTGACACGACCCACTCGCTGAGCACAATCAGCTGTCACACTAGTTCATTCAAAGGGTCACCAGCCTTGGCCCAGGGACCCTTTTGGAAGTTACCATCTGCATCACACAGGAGAATGAAATCACGTACCCTTTGAGGAGCGCACTTTTTGTTCCTAGGAAGACTTCTACGCTTTTGCAGATCCGCTTCAAGTAATTAAGGCAAATTTTCTGCTCAAAATCTGTCCACTACAGCTAAAGAAGGTCTGTGTATAGGCTGTGTGACCTGACCACACGCCACAGTCAGCCCCCCTAAGACTGCAATGACTCGCTTGTCTTTGGAATAAACAAAGTAGCTGAAAATCTCCAAGTCGCTTTCTGTGTATTCGATCTGCCTCTCACAGTGGGAAAACTGATCTTGGAGAAACGGTGTTGCATTTGCACTCTGACCCTGTAAGGAAAAAATACCACAAGGAGGACTTCATGCAGATGGCTGTAAAGTGAGTTTACCTGAAAATGCAGGGAGACCCTGGCTCCGAGTGACATGTTTGCTCATCGTTTATCAACAAGGACAAAGTCAGCAACTGGGGAAGCAGCTCAGGTCCATCTTCTGGGAGCTCCCATCCAAAGCCCATTCTTTCTTACATGAGCAGAGGTTGTAGAGACTCACAACCCACTCAGAACCTGCTTAACTCCCACGGCAAATCCCTTGCTCGACTTCCTCCATACAAATTCCCTTACAAGAGACTCCCTCAAACGGCTCTAACCCCCACCTTGAGCAACACTGGAGACCTGGGTTTTGTTCTCAGGGTGATCCGCTGAGTGCACCTACGGACCTTTGCTATCACGGTGCTGCCCCTACATGTGCAACGCTGATGATGGCATGTATTTTGTCTGTAAAATACTCTGAATTGAATGAATAAAGGTATTTTTAACATTTTATATAATAGAGAAATGCATTCATCCACATTATGTTAAATAGATTATATTTAAAATACATGTTCAAATGTATTCACTCTATATTAAACATGCTACATATTTTTTAAAAGTACTAAAATTAGTGAAACCCAAAGAGGTTTGAAAACTTGTGGTGGTGGATGGTTAGTGGAGGAAGATCAGGGCATCCACACGACACAGTCCCAGCACAGCACCGCATCCTCCTCGTCTTCAACACCGCTGGTCAGTAAACCCACCCGAAGGGAGTCGGAGAGTGCCCGTGGGTGTTGGCAGGTGGGATAAGATTGTTTTGGGAAGTATTTCCCCGGTTCAAAATCTCTGAACTCTTTTATGCTTTTATTTTCAGGTGTTTTGAGAATCACTTCCAATATTTTCTGAAGAAATAAAAGAGCAACCTTAAAAATACTTCTCCCTTGAAAAAGAGTGGTATATGTTCTGTTCAACAGCCCTCACACACTTTTAGAGTTTAATGCTGGTTTAGAAGGATAATTTAAGAACATTTTACCTATAGTTCATATGTAGCAAAGATCCATGCAAACTGGCTAATATAACGCGTTACTTACTTTGCAAACTGTTTGCATCTTCACATCTTTGGGAGGCAGAAAACCAAGATAAAAGTTTTGCAGAACTTCTCCAAAAATTCAAAGACACTGGATGCTACAACTTTCAAAACCAAATAAAGTTGGCTCTATTTTTAATGATTTCTTTGAGGCATTATTTTTGCCCTTGGCATTGACTTGTCTATTCATTATCACAAAAGGTTGTGAAAGATTCCCAAGCAAATGTATCTGAACAACTTTTCTACATTTATTTTTCATGAAAAGGACAAAATTATTTGCGAGTTACACGGCGAAGTCTGCAAAATATTTAACTTCCTTCTCATTTCCTGTTGTTCCCTGTGTTTTTGTGTGAGTGTGCAAATGCCAACTTTGTGTTGCAACTCTGCGTGCAAAAAACAACTTTGTATGAGAGTGAAACACCCAACTTGAAAGAATATTTACGGGCGCCATCCTTTCTGTCAAACACCTTCCCTTCTTGCACTGGGCATACACAGACCCACCGTTAAAACAGAATTAGAAGAGAGAGTTTGTTATTACCGGGTAGATTCATTGGCAGGCAAATGAGGGATTTATTGCGATGGGGAGGTCCTTCGCTGGTGTTTGCCAGCAGGCACATCCAGTCCGCTTGGCACCCGGACGTAATCCACATCTTGCCACCATTTATGACATATTCATCGCCTTTCTTCACAGCTGTCGTCTTGATATCTATTTCAAAACACGGGAAATGAAGGGTTATTCTTGTGAAGGAGGGTTATTCCTGCGAAGGAGGGTTATTATATTAACCCTCATGAAGGAGGGTTATTCTTGTGAAGGAGGGACGCGCTGCTCCCTGTGCGACTGGCAGAGTCACCTCCTTGCTCTCACACCGATGACGAGTATCTGGTCCCCCCTTCACGCCGCACCCAAGCCCAGCGTGCACGGGGCAGACCTGTCTGCACGACTCTGGGAAACCTTTTCTCTCAACCTCATTTTACAGAATCTGTGATCGTGTCTGTAAAATGTTGAGTCTTCATCCCAGTGGATGAAAGCACAAAACTTGCCCCAAGTACATTTGGTCATCAAAAACTGAGGCCAAAGACGTTTTAGTCTGAGCTGACCTTTCACGTGTCTCTGTTACCGTGCACGTTAGTCACTGAGGAGGTCAGGAATTTCAGAGTCCTGACTTAAACAAACACAAGCCTCGGTGTCTGTGAGTGCAGAAAGACAGACGGGCACACGCTTCGGCCTGCTCTCGGTCAGAATGGCACACTGGATGCAAAGCTTTCGAAAGGCCAGGTCTAAAATGCTAAGAACATGTGTGAATCAGCTCTAAACACCTGCTATTTATACTCCCTGATGAAAAAACAAGCCTATTTTCATCTGTCACCGTTCACATCTTGCTGCAAAGCAGGCCTTGCTGCAACAGGGAGCTGGAGTGAATCGGTTTTCCAAAATAAATCGCACATATCCAGAACTCTGAGGTATACTACAGCAAAACAAAATCCAGTGTTTCATACTTATTCGAGCATGTACAGCAAATTAATTCCTCAGGCTATATATGAAAAAAACCATCTGTGTAAGTCAATGAAGTTGAATAACTACCAACAACACAGTCCAGCAAAATTTCCGAAGGGTTCTTTCCCCTGCAACCGAGCTTCTTCAGCTAAAATCCCAGCTGAGGAAGACTCTTCAACAAACATCTGGCTATAAGCAGGTGATAGAATAAACGAACCCTGCCATCCCCATAATAGCACCCCTAAATCTAATGAGAGCCCACCTGGGGAGGGAGGCAGCAGTCAGGCACATTTAAAGCAGCTGGTTATACCTTCATACAACATCCACCCTGATCTGCACGTGAACCCGCTTCCCAAAGGCTCAGAACATAGAACTAACCAAAATGAAGTATCTGGGTCTACATTTACAAGCCAAACTGGGACTGAGGTCAGCATGGCTGAAAAGAAGTCTTGTTAATGGAAGGAACTGGGGAAAAATGATGGGAGAAAATTCTCTGAGGTATAAGACAAGGGAATCTCAGTTATAGCTATGGCTAAAGGAATGAGGATAAAGGGAAAGGGGTAGTGCTAATGTGGATATAAACAGCAGCCACACAGCTATTCAGTCCATGAAAGGACCCTGCCAAATCTGTCCAAGGGACTTGATATAAAATCTGTATAATATTGATATAAAATCTGTATAATAACAAAAATCTGTATAGTAACAAAAGCCAACAAACTAAAGGAATCTAAACGCTCATAACACATGGACACAGACACTGCACAATCATATACGTGGAGACTAAATAATAAACGAAGGACACACAAGAGCCGGAGTACGAAAGAGGACACTGTGCTGAGGCAGCGTGAAAAGGACGGGAACGCACACAGGGATTCACATCCCACATCCCCGTGTTGTGGAAGAGCTACAGAAGAGATTAGATAGAGGCCCCATGGAAGGTCTGCAGAGGAACAATGAGCACTGTGATGTTATCACAAACGTAAACAGTTCTTGCAAACGTGGCGTCACAGGGGATTAACCACCCAAATACAGATTAAAGAACAAATGTCGTATTAATGGGAATGTTCAAGTACTCCCAGATGTGACCACTGACAGTTTGCTTCAAACACTTGAGAAACAATTACTTAAAAATCAACTTACAAAGAGCTGATTCTCTTTAATGAGAAGAAAAAATGAGTGAGTCAATAAGTAGGTTTTACGTTTAAAATACAGCAGGCTTTGAAAACCGAAACAATTTACTGAAGTCAAGTGGACTCAGTCTCAGGGATATGGCTACGAAGATAATTTGGAATCTTTGACTCCGTTGTTCTCCCTGATATGGCAGCCTACGGGAAAAGGCTACTTCAGCGGGTGCCTCGTAACTCATTTCTGGTGGTGCCTATAACTCAACAACTCACGGAGAGCAGGCTGCCTTTTTAGAAAGAGTGCGACGCATCCTCACAAGGCGTACGATACACCCAGTGCCACACAAGCAACCAGGGCTGGTCACTTCAATCACAATTCAAATCACAACAGACTCGAGCCTCCAGTTTTCTTCCCCCCTGCACTCTTGAGTCCAGCCATGTGCCTAAATAGATTGGACAACTTGCAAAGTTGGCTTAAATACTGCACATTGATATTGTGAGCAAAGACAGGCAATTCATATCCTTAAAGGTAAGAATGAAGATCACAGGTCTGGAATTTACATCAGCAGCAGCACAGGAATAAACCCCAAAACTTGCATGAAGTAGCTTCAAGTCTAACGGAATGAATAATCACTTTAAAAACCAGGAGATGGCCTACAGGAAAGGAAAGAGATTAATCATGACAGCAAGCTGCAGTTTGGAGGTCAGAAGGTAAAACCACCACAGGTCAAACTAAGTTAAATTTTGCAGATGCAAATCAGCAAAACTGAAGAAGACTGAAGGGCCAATAAAAAATGTTTCAGCCAAAGGAATGAAAAGAGAATGAGGCATATAGACGACACCTCGAAACTAAATAAATATTTCACATGAGATTACAGAAAAAAAATAATCACAATATAGCTGACAAAGCAAGACATCTACAGGAAGGATTGTACAGAAATTAAAATGAGTGAAATCAGAGTTTGATGGTTTTGGCAATCCGCATAGCCTCGGAATACAAGCAGAACGAAAAGAGAATTCAGTTTACCAGTACTATCTTCCTTAAAACCAACCTGATTTATTACAAAAATGCATTTTCTAGAGAAAAGCCGAACAGGAAAAAATCCTGCTGGCCCCATGCAAACTAAAATTGGTGCTATTAGGTAGCTAAGAGTCAAAATGTTGAAAAGATAGGAATTAGGACAGAGGTGGAAATGTGTGGAAAAGTGGAACTTGGCAAAGGGGAAACTGCATCACACTGCATTAAAAGAGGAAGCGCTGATGTGCAGGGAGGGTACTAGCGGAGCTCCTCTGTGGATATCAGGCTTTGGACAAAACATATTGAGTATTTCCATTAATAATCTTTAGAAGAGCAGGAGTACGCTAATGAAATTTGCTGGTGACACAGATCTGCGAGAGACCACCAACACAGACAGCTGAGGTATTGCCCAGGCAATGATCCTGAGTTTTCAAATTCAACATGACAAGTACTGAGCCACAAAGTAATCAGAATGATTGCTGGATCTTACAACATTTCCACAGCAAACTGCTAATGAAGATGACCTGCAGAGCCTGCAAGCCCCCAGACTGTCGTGTATCATCACATATTGAAGAGTAATATTTCTACTAGGGTTGGAGAAATACTTGTGCCGTTACAGACACCATCTGTGATTTTGGATTTTCAGGCTCAAAAAAGATGACGTAAACCCAGGAAAGCAGAAAGATTGGGACCCACTGAGGCAAAACAGGATAGGACACCTAGGTTGAAGAGGTAGAGGTGAACAGGGTTACTTGGTGCAGTTACCTGGAAGACAAAACTTGAAGAAGGACCAAGTGCCTTCCATGGTGTGTTCTTACATACCCCGCTCAGACAAGCAGCAAAACAGTACATAACAGAAGAGGAGCAAGATGGAATAGGACAAAAATCATTAAAACCAACACAAACGCGTCTGCTTGGTGGTACCAAGAATCCTGAAATTAAAGGAAGACAATTTCCACAACAACTGTTCCAAGGTGTTCTGCTTCTCAAGTCACCCCAGTGCCAGTTTTGTTACACACGCTCAATCCTACGCAAAAGGTACAACAACCACATCTGAGAGTGGCGAGGTGCTCCTTCAATAAAGGGCCTGGGGACTGGGTTGAGTCGCCATCCCTGGATGTGTTCAAGTGTCGCTTAGATGTGGTGTTGGGTGATGTGGTTTTGGGGTGATCTTTTAGTGTAGGGTCAATGGTTGGACTCAATGATCCCAAGGGTCTTTTCCAACCTGAATTGTTCTGTGATTCTGTGATTCAAACTGACTTGAAATTTATACTAGGCTGTCCATAGAGACCTTTTTGTTCTGCTGATCGGTGAATAAATTAATTCCAGGGACCTTTCACTTCTCACGCAGAGAAACCCTTTTTCGGAACCGGCACAAGGAAAGGCTGGAGACACCTTTCTCTGTGTCACTCTTCACTTTAAAATACCCCAGATGACGGGGCAGAAGCACGTCCCCAGTCTGCACATGAGGAGTTGCTACACTCTGCTACGCTCACCTAAGAGAGACAAACAGCCCAACAGCAGGAGCAACCGAAGGACGCGGTGAGCGCAGCTTCACGCAGTCCCATCTGCTTTAAAGCTGGGCCACCTGCAGAGGACGTGTTCTCTCTGCCTCGTGCAAACCAGTGCAACTGGGAACACAGGCTGGGGCTGCTCATGCCTACGTTGTCCGTTTAACCACCCTTCAGAAGCCCTGTAGGCTGGTTTCTGGATACTTTCCATATTAACGTTTCATCCTGCAGTCTGACTCCCAGATGGAGTCGGGGTTCACCAGATAAAACTAGTTGATTCCAAATTTCTCTTTAACTGTATGAATCCAAGTACATTATACTCATTAATCTAGACAATAAACAACACGCAGCTAAAAGAACATTTATGTTACTTATTATCCAGAACACTGCATCAAAAACTTACAATTGTATTTAAAAAGTTCTGATAACCATCTAATTAAACTATTAAATAAAATAAATCATGTTGTATTTCCCACATTAGCAACATTCCGATTTGAAATTACTTTAATGAAAAACAAGTCTATAAAAATCATGGAATTTTTCTTAGCAATAAAATCAATTAACTACAAAGGAAAACAGCAATGCAGGAAGACTTAGTCCCATTATTTCACTGCCCCATTAACTCCCTTGAAAACTACCTGTTGCAGCTTGGCTCTAATACCGAATAATTACCCATTTGTCTTGAGAAAGCAATAAGAGTTTGGTCAAGGAGCTGGACACAGGACCCTGCTGATCAAAAATACTTCTGTCACCCTCTGCAACTTGGTCTGCAGGAAGATGCTGCCTCAGTAATTTGTAAGAGCACAACGTGCTCAACTTGGCCATCCCGTGTCCAACAACAAAACTTCTAAAAGTGGTTTCTTGTCATCCCCTTTTCCTTAAAGTCTGTAATTCACAATAAAGTATATTCTTCTCCAGTATCTGTTTAAATTAATCATTCAAATTATCTGCTGCCTCAGGCACTTCAGAATAATAGTTGCATTTGTCCGTGCTTTTAAACACATTCTTGCACTACAAGAGGGAAAACAGTCGCGTGTAAAGTAACTAAACCACAAAGCTAATGGACTTGATGGGGCAAATTCTCTCCTTCCTTTGCGTTTCTTGCAAATGACAGTGGCAAAGGGAAGAAGGGTCAGCAAAACCAGATTCTCCCCTTCACAATGGCAGGCTCTCGAAAACCGGCAATTTGCTGGGTTCACTTACTTGCCACATCGGACCCAGCGCCGGCTTCACTGACTCCCCCCCAAAAAAAGCCACAACATCTCCAGCTATGGTTGGCACCAGGAACTGTTTTTTCAACTCATCAGATCCAAACCTGCAACAATACAATGAAAAATAAAATAGGACATTAAAATTTTTTACAAGTTAGTTACAAATGCTGTCCTACCCACACAGTGAGGAATTTTCCTATGACTAGGTAAAGCTTGTCCCAGAGCCAAAAGACGAAGAGATACCCTCTAAAGCTATGATTCAGAGCCTTCACCACAAGTGCAGCCACAATCACTGTAAACAAAGCTTTTGCAAGTATTCAGGCATCTTACTCCCACATAAACATTTGGTCTAGGTACCCAAAATCTGATTTTTATAGCTGTTTTTTTTTGAGAGCTATCTGATCTAAGTGAATATAGTCCCTGGAGCTCCCTCTCAATGCTCCCACACCAGTCTGCAGTGAGCCAGGACGAAGAACCTGCTCTCCACATATCTTCTGAGTTTTGCACCAGCCCCTTGATAGGTTTTAATGGTGGCTGAAAAGTTATGACATGTGATGGCCACCTTCCGCAAGTATCTGTATTTACATTGTCAGTATTTCACATCGGCATTTACATCGCACAGAGAAATGCACGAGTGCTTCTGCTCAGCCATTCCCTTAGTCCCCACAAAAACGGGAAGAGCAAACTGTTTACAGCACTTTAGCACAAGAACTTCACTTGGCCATATTCCAGTTCAGTTAAGAGGCACCCCTCTTGTTCTTTTCCCAACGTTTGGCTGCTCTCATCAATTCCAGACACAGTCCATCTCATTTCACTGTTGATTTTGTCCTATATAACATCCACTGATTCCGTCTTGCAGTGTTGAGCAGCGCACCCGTGCTCTAGCTCTTGAACCTCCTGTGCTCGACTGAAGAATTCCCTGGGTCGTGAGATGTCTCTTCTGGGAGCAGAAATCCACAAAGTCAAGTTCCTCCTCAGCCTCCTCTTCAGCAGATGAGGCTTCTCGTTGAGACGTGGTGCTGGGGGAGGAGGTTTTGGGTTGAGCTTTGCAGAGAAGGGTTAATGGTTGGAGGTGATGACACCAAGGGGCTCTTCCAACCTGACCGATTCTGTTTTTCTCAGGACAGCATCCCCACTCACCTCCTCAGGCTCCCTGGCTGCCAAAGCAGGCTGCAGTTCCCCGGACCCCCCTTACGAAACCCCGTCCCAGCACCTCCACAGGAGCGAAGCCAGGACCCGACCCTCCGCCTCCACTCCAACCCTGATGTGAAACCCTCAAAGGACAAGGGACAGGCAGAGCACAGGCTGGGAGCTGGCACACAGGGAGGTTGATTCCGAGCCTTGTCCATGCTGATGACCATGGCAGCGATCTCAAACAAACACCAGAAGTGAGCTTGGAGTGTTCACTCCTTCCTCCAGCACACTGGGGCAAAGTCCCCTGCTCTGTTATGCAGTGCTGTTTTTCGGGTTTTTTTTCCCTTTTTTCTTCTTCCCCTTAGGACATCATCAAGCATGGCCAACGGAACATTTATTAAACAAAAAACAACCCAAACCAAACAGCCAACAGAACGAAAAAAACAGATTATAAAAGGAACTAGCAGGAATTTCTGGCAATGCTTCATGATGCTTAAAACTTGGCCAACCTTTAGCTATTTCAACAGAGGATTTCCATGACAAGAACTTTTCTCAGAATACTGTTTCTGGTGTGATAACTTTGTTTATTTGGTTTAAGTTTCAGAAAGAAACCCAAACATTCGGCTCTTCCCAAAAATGAAGCTACAGAAGAAACTATTTTGCAATTAAAAAAAAAAAAAAATGCCTGGCAGCACTATCTCCAGAAGATCACAGGTCTCCATGCTCTGCAGGAAGGACACACAGCTCAGCAAGCCGCCAGCTATTGTGTTACAAAGATGTTCTTTCTGCAAAATTCTGCCCATCTTAAACACAACCCAGAAAACTCTTGGGTTTGCGTAAATGCTGCAGCATTGGAAAACTCTGCAGAACAGTTTGCAACTGTTTTGTCATGCTCTGGCTCGAGACAGAGCAGACTGTCTGCCTTCTGGGCAAGGGCCATGCCCCAAAGGACAGTTTCCCATGAGATTAATTGTGCAGCCTTAGCATCGCTCTAAAGTGTATTTTCATGCCTGCGTGTATCTATACTCGCACACGTATCTTTCTACAGCCTCCTAGAGACTGGAGCTCCTTGTTGATCCCAGAAGTCCCACGTGTGAGATGCTGGCACTTCAAGAGTTGCATGAAAGTGCAAAGAGTTGCTCCACGCTTTGTGTGGTGGGAAGTCACGAATGCAAACACAAAAAGGACAACGGCATCCAACCTTGTAAATGGTGGGTAAAAGGAAAATAAAACCAGGGCAAAACACAGATGTAAGAACACTTCCAGGATCCACACAGATCCGTTTAGGTGCTCTGCCAATAAATTTAAAGTCACATTTCTTCACCACAAGTCTACGTAAAAATCTGGTTTCTGATAGGTTAGTTTGCTCCATTGACCGAAAACACGTCTATTGCACATCACTGCTCCGACTTAATTGATTCCCGTATTCCTGTTTGCTTTGGGCATTGCTGGTAACTGCATTGTTACACAACACATAAGATGCACAGGCCTAGCAGAAAGATAAATATATGTCAAGGGAACAGAGCCTGCCTTCCAGACCCTGCAGTGGATTTACACGCATCTTCATTCGGAGCGGGAGAAAAACAACCAAGCGAATACCAACAAACAACGAAACCCTGCCGCGCTCTTCTGTTCAAAAATTCACATTTGTGTAGATGTTTTGAGCAGGGAAATTCCTGATTTCGCCTTTCTTATTTGAATTGAATACCCAGAATTTCAGGTATATTCACATTCCGGGGCAGACTTCCGGACCAGCCTGTCATATTACCTTTAGTTTTGCAACCTGCTGATTTGGTGCAGAACGTGTCTCAAACTACTGCATGCAGCAGTTGGTAACTGCCCCCGTTATTGAGGAAGGAAATATAAAACAACACCAGAACAGATTCAGAAAGTGCAGGAACCTGAATGACAGCGAGTGATCAAAGGGAACCCTGACACAAGTCAGTGAGAAAAAGCAAAATGAGTAACTGCCTGGAATGGGTGTATTCAGGAAGCACGATACACGTGCTACGGCTTCAGGACTTACACCAGTGTTGATCATTATTTCTGAAAAGTCACAGGCAGCGAAGAGCACCTTGCAAAGCTGGAAAAAAGGCAAGTAAATTATAAAATAGAGTTAGACTGATCCAAATCATCACAGCTAAACACATCCATGGTATGACTGCACTGGGATACCTAGCTAAGAGAAAACCCAAACAGGAATAGGGAGGTTCAGGAATTATAATTGTTCTATTGGCTGTGTTTGCAAACATATAGTGTATTATTAAACATTATATAT